GTCACTTTCTAAAAGCTGCATAAATCATAACATGTAGAATCATCCCTGAGACCATTAATAGCATTGTTGTTATGGTCTCATGTGACTTTTATTGTCCAATTAACCAAGCTAAAGAAGAAGGCGAGAAAGATTGTGAACTCCCTGAAGAGTTAGCCGTACTGCTCAAACAAGAAATAAAGATCATTTAGCCATACTAGGAAGACATTAAAGTTATCCACGTTGGGACTGAGGATGAAAGAAAGGAAGTAAAGATAGGCGCCGTCGTACAAGATTCTGAAAAGAAAAAACTGATAAAACTCCTTCATGAGTAGGTGGACGTGTTTGCCTGGTCATATCAAGATATGCCTGGGTTGGATACAGACATCGTGGTGCACAAGTTTCCGCTCAAAGAAGAATGTCCTCTTGTCAAGCAGAAGCTAAGAAGAACTCGACCAGATATGAACCTCAAGATAAGAGAGGAGGTTCGAAAGCAATTCGACACCTGATTCTTAGTAGTAGCCAAGTACCCACAATGGGTTGTCAACATTGTGCCAGTACCAAAGAAGGATGGAAAAGTGCAAATGTGTGTAGACTACCGAGACTTAAATAAAGAAATCTAAAAAGATGATTTTCCATTACCTCACATTGATGTATTGGTAGATAACACTGCTCAGTTCTTGGTATTTTTCTTCATGGATGGTTTCTTTGGGTATAACCAAATCAAAATGGCTCTGGAGGACATGGAGAAGACTACACTCATTACCCCTTGAGGAACCTTCTAGTACAAGCTGATGCCGTTTAGACTGAAGAATGTTGGGGAAACACATCAGCATGCAATGGTGACTCTCTTTCATGATATAATTTGGAATGATGTTCCATTCTCTTAGAGTTTCAATTATATCGCGTAAGATGTTGTTCTGCCAGTTCTCAGGGAATCTCATTTGTTTTGTTTGAGATCCTGCTCTGTTAATCCTCTAAGAGTCTTAGTTATATAATTTGAAATGTTGTTCTGTTCTCGAAAAGTTTCAATTATATCGTGTAAGATGATGCTCTGCCGATTCTCAGAGAGTCTCATTTGTTTTGATCAAGATTCGGCTCTCTTAATCCTCAGAGAGTCTTTGTTTTATAATTTGAAATGTTGTTTCATTCTCAAAAAGTTTAAATTATATCACGTAAGATGTTGCTCTTCCGATTCTCAGGGAGTCCCGTCTGTTTTGTTTGAGATCCTGCCATGCCAATCCTCGAAGAGTCTTGGTTGTATAATTTGAAATATTGTTCTATTCTCAGAAAGTTTCAATTATATCACGCAAGATAATGCTCTGCCAATTCTTAAGGAGTCTAATTTGTTTTGTTTGAGATCATCCTCTATCAATCCTCATAGGGGCTTGGTTGTATAATTTGGAACATTGTTCCATTTCCATAAAGTTTCAATTATATTATGCAAGATGCTGCTCTACCGATTCTCAGGGAGTCTCATTTGTTTTGCTCGAGATCCTATTGTGTCAATCCTCGGAGAGTCTTGGTTATATAATTTGGAATGTTGTTCCATTCTCAGAAAGTTTCAATTATATCACACAATATGTTGCTTTACTGATTCTCAAGGAGTCTCATTTGTTTTGTTCGAAATCATGATGTTTCAATCCTCGGAGAGTATTGGTGTATAATTTGGAATGCCATTTCATTCTTGGAATGTTTCAATTATATCACGTAAGATGTTGCTCTATCGATTCTCAAGGAGTCTCATTTGTTTTGTTCGATATCACATTGTGCCAATCTTCGGAGAGTCTTGGTTGTATAATTTGAAATATTGTTTCATTATCGAAAGTTTCAATTATATCACATAAGATACTACTCTGTCGATTCTCAGGGAGTCTCATTTGCTTTAGGACAAAATTGCAGGGTCTTTTTGTATCTAATTGACTTTTACCCTGAAACTATGAACAAAGTGGCAGTTCATTTTCTCGGGTTTAAGACAATTAGATAGGGGCAGCTGTCATACCCCAATTTTGTTCTACCATAAATTACATTGCATTTTCTTTTTACAAATAAAAGCATATTCTATTGTGTATGTTTATCTTATGGCTCCTCCTCTGCCACTAGAAACTCAAGGAATTTTGTGTCTCGGTAAGAATGGAACGTGTTATGGCAACTGCATCATCTTCGCCTCTCTCAAACAAACTAGACTACGCGTCCTCCAAAGTAATCTGCCTAATATTCTGACATATCAGCAACACATCAATGGCATAGTCACCCCTGGCTTGCTCATTCTCTAGGATCTCCTTATGAGTAGGCCTAGGTGGACATCCTGGAGCGTCTGGTGTTATGACAGGGTGTGAAACATTATAGAACCAAGTCATCTAATTGTCCACATAAGAGCACTGACTTGTGGGTGACATACTTTGATACTCATATGATACCGGATGGCTCTTGTAGTCCGCTAGTATGTCCTCAAGATGTTTGTGGACTATGCTATTAGAAGCAGACATGAAGGGGTATCTCATAATGGTTTGCACATATCCAAACTGGCGCACCTATCGCTCTGGAAGATACATACACGTCATATTTGCCTCACATGCCAACCTTCCAGAGTAAAATGAAATGAGGTCGAAAGGAATAGTGCCCCGGTGAGTGTTGTATGGTGTCTAGTCGATGTCACTGTACTAAGTCCAGTCAATATACATAGGAACAATTGTACAACATCATTCCCTCTGCGCAGACAATATATGCAAGTACGTGGTCAATCCTTAATATACTTTAGCACATTACCAAACTCGTGCATGCGGTGAAAGTGGGGTAGGATTCATCCCTGAAAAATTATTAAGATAAAAGTATTAGTAACAAGTGTAAAAAAAATGGTTTTAATATTAATAGTGATTATGAAAATTACCGTCAGCAAGGTGCATAAGCCTTCCATTTGCTTTATCATCCAAAGAAAATCTTCACTTAACTTGGAGTCCCCCCCCCAGTTTCGCTAGCGAATAGCCGACAAGTCAATGAAATACTAGGTTACACTTTTGTCTACAAAAATGGATGTGTCAACCAAGAATAAGAGGAAACACCTCAAAGCAAAAAAGCAAATTCTCTGTGGTAGGTAACTTATAGCTTATCCCCGTCGACATTCTCTGCCAACTCCAAGTTTTCTCCATAAAGTTTCTCCAAGTAAGAAGATTTTGCATGTGCACCTCTGATGCTCTCACACTACATCAGGACATTCATTGGGTAAGCTCCCAAATGAATGACAATTATCTCTTGAGCTTCATCATGTTTGATCTTGGAATGATCAAGTAATCTCCCCCTGATGAGAAGGTGTAGAAGGATGAATGAGTTACATGATTTAAATGACAAACTTACTTGAAAAAATATTGAGGATGAATGAGTGTTAAAGATGAAATGTTTGAAGTAGAAGTAGTGGTTATCTTTAAAGAAGCTTGAAAAATGGACCGCATGTATGTTGCTCACAAGCTCCAATAATTTCTCAAAAACAATTCAAAAAATGAAAAGGAGAAGAGGGAGGAAGGTCTGAAAAACGTTATATTAAACACATTCGAAGATGTATCTTCAAATTTTTCCTTGGATTTGAATTTAAGGGTTATTTGAAAGATGTATCTGCAAACAAATCCTAAAACAAATAGGAAGATACATTTCCGAATTAAATTTTAAAATTTGAAAAAGTGAAAAAAAAATTGTGCGTTCAAAAATACATTTTCGAAAACTAATAGCACTTTTTACTTTTCTCAAAGAATCTGAAAAAATATATAAAGATAAAAAAAAATTGCCAAAAAAAATAATGAGGCCACTTTTAAACTTTTTAAAATCAACTAAAAAAATACTCCTTTGAATTTTTACTTAGATGTTTTTCGATTTTAATGTTAATGCTAATGCAATTAGGAATAACAAAACAACCTGCCACCCCTTCTCTCATACCTGGCACCCCTCTAATTATGTTAAAATTTCATATTTTTTTTCCTTCCAAAGTTTTCATAATTATATACCTAAAATTTTGAAGAAAAAAAAATTTAGCAAAAAATTCAAAATTTCTAATAAAAAAAATCTGAAAAATTCTTTTCTTTTTTTTTTAAATTTCAAAATTTCAAAAAAAAAAACTATATTGCCTTTTTTTTAAATTTCAAAATTTCAAAAAAAAAAAACTATATTGCCGCCAATTTATTATACCACCAATTTCAAAATTAGTGGTAGTGTAAAAAAAATTGAAATATAGTACCATCAGTTTCAAATTTATCGAAAATTTTAAAATTTTGATGATGTAAAAAAATTTTCAATTGTTTTAAATTTTTTCAAATGCATTTTTGAGATTATGAAAGTTTAAAAGGGTGTCTGGTATACCGAAAATTTAAAAACAATGAGTTTTTTACATGAAATTTTAAAACTTTCAGTATTTTATGCCAGAAATTTTAAAACTTGCAGTATTTATACCGAAAATTTAAAAAATTTTGATATGTACTAGAAATTTCAAAATTTCCAGTATTTACGTTGAATTGTATACAGGAAGTTTCAAAAAAAATCTATAAAGATCTCATACTTTCTATCGGAAATTTCAAATACACTATCAGAAATTCAAATTTTTAGAACTTGAAAGCAATTTACCGGAAATTTCAAATACACTACTGAAAGTTTCACTCTATACTGCAAATTTCGTTATAACTACCGGAAATTTCATACAAAAATATGGTGTGTATTTCACCCAATGGCAGTTTAGGAAATATGAAACTTTAGGAGATGTCACATAATTTGTGGAGTGGCATGTTAAATTCTTCTTAAACTTGGATGCTAGTTTCAATGACAAGTAAAAGGCAAGATACGTATGGCGGAAATGTTTCTCGGACATCAAATCCCAATCAATAATGTATGTATATACAGTTTTTTACTTTTATCCGGTGTCCGATTTTTGTGGTCTAAAATAACACACCTCTCCAAAGATATACATGGCTCATCAGCATTTATACTGCAATATGAAACTGGATTTCCAGATTTTTCACTACAGCTGCAACACAATGAACATTTTAGCGCATTTCTTCTGCAACTTGACAGTTACGTATACCCCAAAATGACTTAGGTTTCAGATTTCTCTTCGTGGCTGTAAAAAGCCACCCCATATGGGTTTCACAGGTGGCACAGTTAGCAATTGTCCATGCATACCTGCCAAAAAGTAGAAGATTGGATTGCATATTAGCTTCATGATAAAATGAAATTTAAAGAAATAACAGCTTGGAAGATTCTCGGAGGTGATAGTTATAGACCTATCAGGTTCACAAGGATCAAACTTGCAACCACTGAATCATTCTCTAACCATATTATAGCTTGAGCAATCATATTATATGAATACATTTGAGTAGCTATATGTTTGGCATACACAGACATTGGGAACCTCGGCAAATATATATATATATATATATATATATATATATATATATATATATATATATATATATATATATATATATATATATATATATATATATATATTTCCAAACATTGGGTGGCGAGTAGTGGCATGGGGACATATTTCCAAACATTAGGTCGCGAGTAGTGGCAAGGGGACATATCAAGTGTCCAAGGTATCCTGTAACTGTTATAGCTTGAGGTATTGTATGACTACAGAAGTAGTTTGACATATAGCATTGCTTAACCACACTGAACATAAGGTGGTCTAACCCCTAGAATTTAATGTATCAACTAGGCCACAAACTTGAAGGATCGTCTAACTACTATAGCTTGAAATATTGCATAACCACTAAGATTTTGAGGTATAGTCTCACCACGTCTGACAACTAAAGCCTGAGGTTTCATCTAAGTCTAACTGAACCCCATGGGTTAAGGCAGATTTCCCAGTGTACTCAAAGCTCTAAGCTTATGCGATCTCAAGAAGTAGTTAAACATATACGATAGCAAGGATAAAAAAAACACACCATGGGGATAGAACAAGTCTAAGATAATACAAAATAATATTTCATAATATCTTGATATTATGTTAGAATATCTTGAATTTTTTGTTAAGTGTGTGTATGTGTATGTAAGAGAGAGTGCGTTTATCTCCTAAGATTGGTTTCTAATCTTAGAGTATCTTAGAAAATTTGTTTTCATATTACTTGTTGTTAGCTTGATTTATTTACCATTTTTCCCTTTTATTTAGGATTAGAACCCTTGTATACCTAAAATTAGGGATTCCCAGTAGTCTTTTGTATGAAGTTACTATGCAATTCCTATCAATAATATTCAAAGCTTGGTAATCATTCTATCTATCTTTCAGGTGATTCTCTCTGACTTCTTTAGCATCCTTAAGCTGCCTCCTTAATCATTACTTTAATTTGTTTAGAAACATATTGGCTTCTTGTGATAGCTTGAGGGGCAGTATTCCAACCTCTGGAGCAATGACACTCGTGAGATTTTGGCAGACTCCATTCAGATGTCAGAATGTCGTTAATGTAGAAAATAAGACTTTGGACTCAGCCAAACCAATTCACAAGTGACATGGGCATATATCTGGGCCCAATAAGAAAGCTCTAGTGTGGCCAGAGACAACTAAGATGGTGAATAATCCATATAGTTTTGACTTGATCACTAAGCCAAAGCTTGATAAAAAGTATGTGTCATAGTTAGCACTGCTCATTCGGCTAGTAGTTCAAAGGCATTGACATGGTGAAGACAAGAGGGTTAGCCTTTGGAGGTGACCATGTTAGGAAGACTGAAATTGGAGATAAAGTATGATTTCCAACAAGAAATTTTCATTTGACAATGAACCCGTCGGTATTCGTGTCTTAGAATTTGGGTTGGACCTATTAATATGAAATAAGTTTGTAGAGTGAAGGATATCTTCCACTTGTAAACTCGTTTTTAGGTCTTGCCACATCAAATAAGGGACTCTTGCCCACGACTAGATATTTGGAGCATAACCAGAGTGTCCTGTGTCCTGATTGCATGTCATCCGGGGGATCTTTGATAGACTTTCTTAAATTTTGGGTTAGACCAAACTCAACCCGAGGATGTCTAAAACTTAAACTCATTTTCAGATTCTATCTCATCCAGTGTAGGACTTAGACTCATGGATTATAATTGCTCTAACTAATTTTTAAATATCGTGCCAAGAAATACGAGAATCAAGATATATGTCATTGAATCAGTTTCTAAACTATATTCTGAAATTATATATAATAAGACTGTTGAAGATATATTAGAATATTTATATTTAGTGTATAGGATTGTTGTTTATGTGGATGATGTGGTTATAACTGGTAGTGATAACATGGCATACTCCAACACATAAACAGAAATAATCAACAGTTCAAAATATTCACCAGAAACGAAAATGGCCAGAAACATACCCTGGAAACCAACAGTATTTTGTAAATGCTGGGCCCTTAAGAGCTAACCCTTTTGCTTTGAACAAAGTCGTTATCTCATGCACGTAACCAGTTGAATTTACATATGCACCAACGGGACCTTCACTAGACATCACCAGCACATCACTCCGCTTTGCAATTATAATCTACAATTTAAAAAATATTGCAACAGATAATATGTGCAATTGTGAAAGTTGGAAAGAATAATTATATTATGATAGTATCTTATTAAAATATAATATATTTATCATACTGCTATATCACAAAAATATCCTATATAAATGTTTGAAAAACACAATTATGAGGATTGTTGAAGATGATTACCTGACAAATTTTACATTGAATTAGATCAATGCTTTCTAGTAGTTCAATTTCTCTACGCAATCTATATGAGATCCCATCAATATCCAAAAGCTCCTGCCTTGTAGATTCAGATACAGGTATTTTACAGGCAATAGAAAATGATAAAACATCAGGCTTCTTAACAAGGGCATCCATGTTTGGCGCACCAATGATTTGCTTCCACATATCTACAGATCATGAACACTACTGTTAGTGTTAGATTTTAGATTATTAAGAGTTATATTATAATAATATATTACTAAAGTTTAGTATTAAGTATAGGACTTGACTCATTTGTCAATCTTATGAATTACCCTTTTAACCTATTAATATAAATATGAAAGTCATTACACATGGGTGTGTATCGAATTGATTACTCATATGTCTTCTTTCTTACTAGCCTACTAGAGTCCAGAAAAGTTTGCCACCAAAAAAAAAACCTAGCACTACCTCGTCTAAATAAAAGGGTTCAAGCATTGTTTGACATCTGATGTTTGGGGTCCTTATCCGGTAACCTCAAAATTTAGCTATAAGTATTATGTTTCTTTTGTTGATGACTATTCTCATACAACTTGGTTATTTCTAATGAAATCCATATTTGAGTTACTTACTATACTTGGCAATTTTTGTGCTTAAATCCGTACTCGGTTTAATTGTCATGTTTGCATTCTCCGAAGTGACAATGTCAAATAATATTTTTTTGCACTATTTAATACTTTCATAAATCATCATGGCATGATTCATCAATCATCTTGCATTGTCACTCCACACTAAAATGAAATTGTTGAACGCAAAAACAAACACTTAATAGAAGTTGCCCAAACTTTATTGTTCGGGATTAAAGTTCCAAAGATTTTTTGGGCAAATGTAGTACTCACTGCTGCCCACTTAATTGATCGCATATCATCATCTGTATATCATCATCTGTATATCATCATCTGTTTTAAACGATGTAATCCCATATTCCATCCTTTTTTCTTCTCATTCTTTGTTTCCCTTGTCCTCCAAAATATTTGGTTGCGCATATTTTGTGTTTGATATTCGTTCACAGGTAACTAAACTGAATCCAAAGTCATTGAAGTGTGTATTTTTGGATTACTCTCGTCCCAAAACGGGTATCGCTGTTTTTCTCTAGATCTTGGTTGTTATCTGGTTTCAATTGATGTCTCATTCTTTAAAAATCGTCATTTCTTAAGTCATATCATTACCCATTGTATTTCTCCAACTCTTATTGCAACAGGTTTCAAGTTCTTTGGGCGGGCATATTCTCCTCGTACCCAAGATTCAAGAGAGGATGTTCATGAAGATACTCAACCCCTACCCCTTCGATGCTTGCAAATTCTGCAAATGACCTTCCAACTGTCTTTGAAAAAGGTAAACGTATTTCATCTTATGCGTCTTCTAGTCTTTTGTCATTTACTTCTAAATCTTTTGTTGTTGACATAGATTCTATTTTCGTTCCTAAATCTCTTTCAGATGCTACTAATCATGATGGTAAGAGACAGACTATGGAGGTGTGTAATTAAAAAAATAATTGTATGGCTTGAAACAATCACCTAGGTCTTGGTTTGAGAGATTCAATGAAGTGGTTTTGACATTTGGACTGAAAAGATGTTAGAGTGATCATACAATACTTTTTAATAAAACCAACTGTAAAAATATCTTACTTGTGATGTATGTTGATGATATTGTAATTACAAGAAGTGATAGCAAAGGAATTGACAAATCGAAAGCTTTCCTCCAAACCAAGTTTCAGACCAAAAATTTGAGAGTCATAAACTACTTCTTGTGCATTGAAGTTAAGTATTAAAATAACGAAATTTTTCTTTCACAGAGAAAGTATGTTTTGAATCTATTGAATGAAACCGGTATGTTGGAATCCAAATCATGCAAGACTCTAGTCTGGAGTTATGCTGACAGTGGATGGAGCTTATTTCTCAAACTCACAGAAGTATAGAAGATTGGTGGGAAAATTAAATTATTTAACAGTTACGAGACTTGATATTGCTTTATGTCTTCCCCCACTGATACTCATTAGAAAGCACTAATCCGCATTGTTAAATATTTGAAGAAAGCTCAAGGTAATTTGATATCCTGGAAAAGAAAGAAATAAAATGTAGTACCGAGTTCGTGATAATCAACTTGCCATACATATCACATCAAATTCGGTCTTGCATGAAAGAACAAAACACAGTGAGATCAAAAAAAAAAAAAAATTGATTGTCATTGTTAGAAAATATTTTATTTTCATATTTAATTGTTTATGTTTATTGTATTTTCATTATATAAACCAGTCTTTGGCTGAGGAATAAAATTACAACAACTTTTATTTATTTCTTCCATTATGATATCGAGAGCTCTGGGTTAGGGTTACCGTAAAGCTTTCTACAACTATTTCTTCCGATCCGATTCGCATACCTGTTTAACCTCTTATGGCGAATAACAACGGCGGCGGCCGCAGCAATGGAGGTGGCCACGGAAACGGCGGCGATCGCAGAGATGGCGGACGAGAGGAACCGTCAGTGGTCACAAACAGTGGCAATAATGACGACAATAATGAAGACATTAACATTGTTTTTAGCAGTAATAACGGCAACAATGGAAACAGGAACATTGTCTTTGGTGATAGTTATTCCAACATAGGCGGTAATGATCAAGAGGGTTCCTCATACTCCCTCAAGGTCAATATCCCTAAACTGAATGGTAATAACTATAATGAATGAGCTCAAACTGTTCGATTGGTGTTGGATAGCAAAGGGAAACTTGGTTTCTTAACAGGAGCAGTAGTTGAACCAGCATCAGGAGATCCTCGTTACAAACAATGAAAATCTGAAAACTCTTTGATTATTGTGTGGCTGGTAAGCTCCATGGAAACTGAAATAGGTAAGCCTTACATGTTTTTGCCTTCCGCAAGGGATGTGTGGGAAGCTGTTAAGGAAACATACTCTGATATTCAAAACTCCTCCCAAATATTTGGTTTTAAATCAAAGTTATGGCATGCGAAACAAGGTGACAGGAGTGTAACCGTTTATTACAATGAGCCGTTGACACTGTGGCAAGAATTAGATCTTCGTTATGATGACAATTAGAGGTGTACAGAAGACAGTGTTTTGTTTCTCAAGAGGCAAGAAAATGATCGTGTATTCATGTTTCTCGCTGGGCTCAATAAAGACCTTGATAACGTAAGAAGTAGAGTTTTAGGAAAAATATCATTGTCAACTCTTCATGAAACTTTTGCAGAAATAAGAAGGGAGGAGGCACGACAAGGAATTATGATGGGGAAGACAACACGAAGCTCTGAATCTGAAGGTTCAACTTTGGCTACTAGAAACCTTGACGAGGGAAGAAGGTCAGATAAAGTTCCTTGGTGTGATCACTGCAAGCGCGAATGGCATACACGTGAAACCTGTTGGAAGCTCAAAGGCAAACCTCCGAACTGGAAGAAGAAAGGTGGTCGTGCATTTCAGGCTAGTAATTCTGATCAAGGGCAGCAATCCCCTACAACTCAGCTTCCATTTACTACGGAACAACTAGACAGACTGTACAAACTCCTAGAGTCTCCAACCCCTTCATGCTCTATAGCAACAAAAGGCAATTCTGCACTTCTTAATGTCAGCCCCAATCATACTTGGATAGTAGATTCAGGTGCCTCTGATCACATGACAGGTGAATCTACTTTGTTCTCTTCATATAGTTCATGTGCAGGTAATCAAAAAATAAAATTGCAGATGGCTATTTTTCAGCCATTGCAGGTAAAGGGTCAGTTGTGTTGTCTCCAATATTAAATCTTAAAAATGTCCTTCATATTCCAAACTTATCGTGTAATTTAATGTCCGTCACTAAATTAGTCCAAGATATAAATTGTCAAACTAATTTTTTCCGATCTCACTGTGTCTTTCAGAATTTGAACTCGGGGAAGATGATTGACAGTGCTAAGGAGAGTGGAGGACTCTACTACCTTGACATTGGATCTCTGCATCACAACTACCTTTAACAATAAGCTTCAGCTTCGAGGTCTTTTTCTATTCTTAAATAATAAAGATGACAACATTATGGTATGACATTTAAGATTAGGTCATCCTAGTTTTCGTTATTTAAAAACACTTGTTTCCTAAATTATTTCACAATAAGAATTTTTCCTTCTGTTTAAATGTGAAGCACGTGAGTTTGCAAAGCATCATCATTCCAACTTTTCAATACAGCCATTATAAACCATCAAAACCGTTTTCTATTATTCACCAGTGATGTTTGGGGGCACTAACCGTACTAGTACGCTCTCTCTCAAAAAATGGTTTATCACATTTATAGATGACCATACAAGAGTATGTTGGGTGTACTTGTTAAAGGGAAAATCAAATGTTTGTCAGGCTGAAAAGAATTTTTTTTCAATGGTGCAGAACCAATTTCAAAACAAATATCCAAGTTTTTAGAAATGATAATTGCAAAGAATATTTTAACACTATCCTGGATGATTTTTTTCTAAAAAATGGGAATGTACATCAAAGCTCATGTCCTAATACTCCTCAACAAAATGGGGTGGCCAAAAGGAAAAATAAACATTTATTGTAGGTTGCTAGAGCTCTACTTTTTTCGAATAAAGTACCAAATTATTTGTGGGGCGAAGCTGTTTTAACAGCTGCGTATTTAATTAACAGAATGCCCTCCAAAATTCTCAATTTTCAAACTTCAATTAATGTCTTCAAAGAATGTTTTTCTAGTACTTGTATTTTAACTGATTTGACTTTAAAAATCGTTGGTTGCACAACTTTTGTTCATGAACATAAAAATGTTGGAAAACTTGAGCCACGTGCTATAAAATGTGTCTTTGTTGGATACTCCTCAACCCAAAAAAAGATATAAATGTTTTGATCCAAAAAAAACAAGAAAATGTTTGTCACTATGGATGTTACATTTTTTGAAAATAAACTTTTCTTTGATGACACTCATCTTCAAGGGGGGAGATAAAAGAAGACTCGTTTCAAATTGAAGACATGAGTTTTTTGAAAAATTTATCTTTGCCTGTACCCACAAAATTCTGAGATTTCTACATCTGCACCAACAGAAAATGGCCCATGATTCTGTATCTGATCCTACTCCTGTTATGAGTAAGGAGCTTTGTGAATCCGAGCCTACATTTTCTCTTGTAGAAAACAATGAGAATCCCAAAAACGATGATAATGATGATC